TGTTCTATAAATTTTCTGTAAATTTGATCTGATATATATTACAGTATGAATTATCTATTGGGCTGTTTAACAAATTAAATCGAGTCTCAAGACTTTATAATTAATTTATATCAGCGAAGTTGAAATTTGACCTACCTGCACGTGCGATATCGTCCCTGATTAAGTTTAAGATAACAAATCTAATTTGTTTCAGCGAGAATAACAGCAGAAGCTGAAATGCTTTTTAATCTAAAGTTTGACGTTTTCTTTACTTCTAAATAGTTTTTATGCAAAGGAAATCACTGGTGATGATTGAATTTACATTAATTTCAAGTGAGGTGTTTTGGACCTTCTGTGCTGACGTTCGGGAAAATAAAGTGAAACTCAGGGAAATCTTTCAAACGTCATATTATTCAATATCACACTAATGTCTAAGTTTTGCTAAATCAAAGTTTTGTCTGTAAATTAGAATATTGAAAGATTTTAAAATACGACTCCAGAAAAATTCCTAAACCTTTTCTTTAAAAATACTTGTATGGGTTTTTAAACTTTTTAAGATTCTACAGAAAATATAATGGGAAAAAATGTGAAGTTTAGGAAACATACAAGAAATGCCTTTGTAAAATGGGTTAAGACTTTTGCTGAAATAAAGCAAAAAAGCTATACTAGTATTTTTACTTAAGTTATTTTAAAATGTTTAGAAAACTCCAAAACGCTAGAAGAGAGAGAGAGCGCGCGATGGCTGCCCAGCTACATATACATATACTTAGTGTAGATGCTGTCAGTAGTGCATTTTGTTTTTCTTGTATGACTAGGTGACAATTATTGCACAGTCCGTATATGTATAATTTATATCATTTCGGACTGACACTTAAATTGAAAATCAAGGATGAACATATTTTACTAAGAGCGTAATGAATTTCACTTTATGAAAATTAAGTATGGGTGTCCGATTTATTCTGCGTTGTCATAATTTCTGTCTAAAATGTTTATTAGGTCCACGTACTTTTACATTTAAGTGCCTTAAGATAAAATACTCACAAATTAGGGTCATAGATAAACAAACCTATCAATTTTCTTCTCTAAATTAAAACTAAAAGAATATGATGAATGCTTTTCACGAAGAAAAACGAACTTAATAAAATTATCAAAAAGTAAAAACACAGTATACATGTAATTTACAATAATAAAATTAAGATTCAGTCTCGAGGCTTTAAATTTTATCATACATCAGATCCTAACAAACAGTTGCTTTCCTCGATGAAAATAACAACATCATATAATCATATTTCAATGGAATAATTCTGAGAAATTATTTCTAAAATGTAGACTTTCCATATATAGTTGTGTCGATATTTAACATAAGCGGATGAGCATTTTCATGAATTGGGTTCTTATGATAGGTTTGAAATAATCAAACGTGCATGGAAAAATACACCACTCTTTAAACTTTGCTAGTAAAGCTTGTGTTTAGATAAAGGTGCACTCGCACATGCAGTCATATGCATGACGTCATAATGAAAAATGAACGCATTTGAGAATAATGTTTTAACTCTTCACCTATGTGAAACATAACAAAGTACTTGCAAGTTACTTCCGGCAATACATTTCAAAATGAGAATGCGCACAAACTGATTTTAATCATTTTTGACCTCTGACGTCACCTTTTTTTGAGCGAGATCAACCATAAAACCTGTACCCCGCCTGTGTCATCGAATCATGTACTTTACTGTGTGATCTTATAAGTGATAAGTTTTTAACTTAACATAGCTTACCATCGATAAGAGCGTTGGCATTATTTCTATAGTACATTGCAAATCGTTTGTTTTACTAGTATTTTGATATATTCAATTTGTTTATATTCATTTCGGAAGTACTTCTGCCTGTGGCTACAGCTTCCGCCAGTCAAAATGATTGTAACAAACACGAAGCGTATTTTTTGTTTAATCAGAAAACATAGATTCCATTGTTTGGATAATTGTTAAGGAGGCCTACTGACACACCACATCAGTTTCTTTTGTATTTTGCCATTTTAACACAACCGAACTAAGCTCGCGAGGGCACATCACGTGTAGAATAAATTAGAATATTATCTACAAGATTGGGTTTTATTGTTACTAGGAATTAAGTTGATCTATGTGAATGGACCCCTCTCTCGGTGGTAGCGGTCAACTGCCCGACCACCGTTCTCTTTCATTCTTATAAAACTGGCACAACCAGTATCAGATATCACCCCTCCTCTTTTAAATAACCCCCGATTCTCTAATACGCTGAATTTTGAGCAAAAAAAATTTTTTTGATTTCCTCTGACAATCGCAAAAAGTCATGATTTTGATCTTTCGGTAAACTTGGAGCAATGCTGCATGTCCCTTGCTGTCGGAGAGTGACAAATGTAGTTTCCGATGGAGACCTTATTGTCTGTACCCAGCAGGACCAGAACGAGGCTCCTAATGTCAATCGTGACAGATAAGAGAAAAGTTTGCATCCTCTGCGTTACCGTAAATTAGTTTAACTATGTCCAACATAGTTACCACACCATCTTACGTAATAAAGCCCCTGAAATAGATAAGTTGGAATCTAGACTGCCCAGTACAGAAAAGAAAGCAGTCTGCTCCCTGAACGATCACGTTACACAAACATACTGCTCCAGAGCCGCGAAATTTGTCTCTGAATAAATTTTAGGTCATTTTAGTCAATCAGGTGATTGTCGCCATCTTTTTTGTCCGTTGTCGTGCGTCCTGCTTTGTGCATCATACATGAACGTTAATATTTAAAAGTTTTCAGCTTCTTCTCTGAAACTGCTCAACCAATTTCAACCAATCTTTATATATAACATCTATGGATGAAGGGGAACACATTGTTTTGAATTTCAGGTCCCTGTCTCACTGGGGCCTGAGGGGTGGGGCCAAAACCAATAAAATTAACGCATCCTTAAAAATCTTCTTTACTCCTGGACATCATGCAAGGAGTCAAACTATTGACATGATTGTAATAAGCATTGAATCCTCTGCCAAAATTGTGAAATTCCTGGCCCAAGGTTAAGGGGTTCTGGTGCTAGGGAGGGGCTTATTCTCTACTGAGAAGTTGATGGCTCGTTTTAATACTCCCCCTCAGAATCTTTTGGAGTATATGTATTGAAACAAGCCATCAATTTCTCAATAGAGAATAGGGCGGGGCTATGTTCAATGTATAGTGAAAATGTATTGTTTTTTTAAAAAATCTTCTCATGTCCTGGGTATTAAGCCATAATAATGATGATGAAGGGTGTCTCTTCCAAAATTGTGAATTTAATGGCCCCTGGGTCAGAGGTTCTGATGTTAGGGCGGGACTCTAATGATTTTATACTACTACATGTATATCACTTTGGGCAAAACAGCCAATAAATTCACAAAAATAGCACATAGCAACTACAAAAATAATGACTCTGAATGAGCCTGAATTGGGGGGGGGGTGTTGAAATCCCTGGTCAAAAAAAAAAATAAATAAATGCCCAAATCGATAAAAGTACATTATGTGACTTTAAGTTCTTTTTTTTCATTTCAGCTCAATTTTCACTCAGAAATGATTACGCTTGTTAATCTTTTGTAAAGGTATTTCTGTATTCCTTTATTTAATGATGTCATTTATAGAAGTATTTGCCCTGGTACTTTCTTAATTTTTTTCCTAAGATGTCACTAAATTGCTTCAACAGTAATATTTCATTTTGAATTACAAGTCGTACACTTCATCATCAAAAGCCAGGTAACTAAATAAAAGATAAAAGCTGAATCTTATTACGAAACGTTCCCGGATTGGCACTTAAGCAAACATAGTGGTTGTATTGACACAATTTTCATCTTATTTACTTGTCTAGCTTTTAAAGAAACTTAAAAAGGTACATGACAGTTTCATTTCTTTAGCTGTTCTTTGGTCATTTTATCTCGATTTAACCCCAAAACAAGAAGTCTCATTAAATCCAGTTATCTGTCAGTCATATATAACTTACATGAATGGCACTTGATTCAGTGTATGACATTGTTATAGTTGTAACGTTGATGATACTAACAACTCCACGTGACCTCGGTCCTTTATAAGGGGCCTGGTCCTAATGCGTTGTGTCACACGAGTCTAATTAACAAACCTTCACCTTAGCGACAACATCACAAATCTCGCAATGTTTGATGAACATAATAAAAGTCGAGCTATAATTATTTACACCTTCCTCCAAAATGAAGGGTAGTATTGTGCTACATGCTATATAGTCTTGCTGCACATCAGGTTCCAGAATTAGACAATCAAATTTTATTTATCTCTCAGGTATTTATTGCATCCTGGAGCCAGAAAGGGTTCTGCATGTACAGTTTTGCCCTATCCTGTTTCTGTGGAATACAGGGAGTGTACCTTGCTCTAAAATGGCCAAGTTCTGATCAGGAACAAGGTCATTCTTAGATTGATGTCCATATTTTCCATTATGCAGACTCCCTGGCTTACTGAATGTAGAGAAAGAAGGATAGCACCCAAACTGTCAGAAACATAATCAGTCGCAGCCAAAGACTGACAGATGGGGGAAACCAGAGAGGAGAGGCTAAATCTAATATTGTTATGACATAAAATCAATGTACATAGGTATTCTATAACCAGTGTCTTCATATTCACGACAGAACCATTGTTTTACGTTCCTAAACAACAACAAATTGGTTTCCTTCTTACTTGGTCTTGTGAAAAGCATATTCTTGACTCATTTGTGATCCATATTTATAGCAATGTCTCTTAATGAAAGGCGCGCATACATTAATTTCATCGTTATGTAAATTTAAGAAAAAAAATATAAATTAACGAATGGCTAAAGCAATTTTCCCTGTTGCAAAATGTTTGAAGTGGTTTTAGATGTTATGCATGTTTAACGTTTTACAAACACAGACAATTGCAAGGGTTTCTCTCTTCTCCAATATGCGATAGATAAGTTCATTTTTTGATCATTTGTTTTGTTAGGTTTTAAATCAATTTTATGATATCGTTCGATCTTTTTTTTGAAATGCAGATAGCTTATTATGAAAAAATCACACGTCATCCGTTGATTTGTACTTTACGGCTGACTTGAGGTTGATACTCAATCAGAGGCAACAGACAACAATAGGTCCACATACTTGTACTTTCTTAAGAGGCTTGCTATAAGTGTTCTTTTTATGCCCCGTAATCGAAGATTGGGAGGTATATACTTTTTGCCCCGTCAGTCCGTTTGTCTGGAAAAACTTTTATCTTACTCATAATTTGGGTGGGGCTATGACTCTCATATTTCATGGGTATATTCCTTGTGACAAGACCTTGCTTCAGGTACCAACAAATTTGACCTCTTGCCTTGGAGTTTGATCAACTTTTGCAAAAAAAAAATTACCGAACATTAACTTTGGTCGTAACTTTAATTTTGAACAGTTGGTGCCAGGGCTCTCTTACTTCAAATATGTATTTATTGGACAATATTTCCAATGGGTGTAATTTTTTTTTACTTTGAACCAAAAGTTTTACCATCTTTTTAAAACCTTAATCTTGGCTATATTGTTTGAACAGTTAGTACTTTGGCTTTCATATGCAACAAGTATAAGCCTTGTGACAAGACCTTCCATATGATACCAACAATTTTGACTTTTGGCCTACTTTTGAAAAAACTTAAACCTTGGACATAACGTTTGAACAGTTGGTGCTAGTGTTTATATATTTCACGTTTATATTTTTTTACAAGTTTTCCTTTTTTCCTGGGTACCATTAATTTTTTTCCTTTGACTTTGGAGTTTCAATCACTTTCTAAGAAGTTTAATATTGGTCATAACTTTGAAAAGGTTAGTACTTGGGCTTTCCTATCGGTATTTCAAATTTGGATTCATTCGTCTTTAATATATGGAATCTGTAACTTTTAACTACAATTTTTTCTTCTTAATTTGTCTCAAATAAACACATACTATGTCCTCAAAACAAAATACAGCTGAAAAACAAATGTAACGCAGTGTCACATTATCTTTTCATGTGGTCTAAACATTTCGTTAGAAAACTTTAAAATGATGTAACAAATCTCCAAATTTATCCAAACAACACGGGTGTATCTTTGAAGTTGTTTTAGTGATATCCTTTGCACAAGCCTAAATAACCGAGTTTACCATGAGGATGGCCGTGTTGCCAGGACATTCCGTGGTTGCTTTGCTGGTCCCCCGGCAACATCGCAACAAGCTTTCTTCCGCAGCTTCAGGTGTTTCCCGTTCCACTAATGTTTTGTATAGTTATCTACCGATTTTCTAACAGATTCAACAAGTTTTATCTACTTTCAAGTTCATACCACCACGAACGATCCATTGTTATAAAGAAATCATCTATTAGTAAGGGTTGGGGAATCCCGTATCTCCTTGTACATGAATCATCCTGAAAGCAAAAATATATCAAAGACAAGCTCGGTCTTTGCACGAGTACCTGTTATCAGAATTCTTATTTTTAACAAAAATGAACGTTCCTTCATCAATTTACAATTATGTCAGTGCCGATTAAGGAATCTGGTTTTTAGCCAGACGAATGCTGCTGGTTTTCCGTGTTATGATATGATATGATCCCAGCCTCAGACTTGTGGCGTTGTAGTGCTACATGTTTTACACAATGAAATATTGCTCCAATAAATCTTGTGTTAACTAGATCTAAAATCGTCCTCGATTATTGGCGCTATCGACGAGCAGACTTCCTTCTGCTTGTTACTGAATACATTGCCAGAGCATCGTCTATCATTTCAATGGAGTGCTGAAGTTTTTAGCGGATAATCTGGTAGATCATAAAGTTAACTTTACACTCTTATGTAATGAGGCATTTAGCCTATCTAGTCACCGAAAGAACATGCCAGAAAAGTTCTCTATTGTCACAAAACTCTAAACATGCAGAAATAATGTCTTATAAAATTTCTATGCGATAATTTAATCGTATTAAAAAACTAGAAAAGTAATTTGTTAAGCACGAGTCTACATATTTGTAAAAACTTAAAGACAAACTGATGTAGGTAAATCGGTGTATAATTGATATCCGTTGTCAGATGATGCAATCAAAGCACATATCTGTGTGTAGAAAGAATGTTTGAAATATGTATTTGTGTTCCTTTCCCAGAATTTTTAAGTTAAATTTATTTTGTCAAATAAGGTTTACATACATGTATACCAGTTTATTGCAATCTGCATCAAATGTCTTTCTTTGCATGGGTGGATCTTGCTTAATGTAATTCAATAACTCTGATTACCGGTATTTTGCTTGATACCACATGCAAAAATAAGTTGGGAAAACCCAAAGGTGTAAAATTTTAAAAATTGACAGAATTTAACAATGAAGCTGTCTTCTTTTTTATCAAAGTAAATGATATAACAAAGGTAGCCCTTTGATTCGATCATTTATAGAAATGTAAACTTCACAGAAATTTTGTCGATATGCTTTTCTGTAAAGTTTCTTTATCTATCGAACGAACGAATCAAAGGGCTATACTCGTATATGTGCGTGTATAGTAAAGTTGACATAAAAAAAAAATCATGAACATTTTTTTAAAATTCCTTGTAAAACATGACATTCAAATATAATTCTTCCAAGATCTAAGTTTGAAATATTACGTGCATCTTTAGTTAAGAAATATAAGAAGACACACATTTCGAATGCCCACATAATAAAATTGTGGTTTATATTTTTCAGTGTTTCTTCAGATTGGAGTTGTGACGTCATATTACCATCTGTATCGGAACAAAAATTGGAGAAACAAAAGTTGTAGTCATATTTTAAACAGAATCGGGCACCTGTCGATCGAGTCTCCCCAACCCCCACACATCGCGGGCGAATGGTCATCACACAGGTAATTATCCTATAGGAGGGAGGGTTTTACAAATATTTAAATTTTTACTAAAATTATTATTAAGAAATATTCATTATTTATTAATAATTGGATTCTGGTTGTAACACACTCTTTTGATTGGCTGAAAAATTAGTTTTATACTGTATAATCTGTGTTGTCTATGTCACAATGACATGTCAAAAACGTATCAATCTGCTTGACATTACATTTAAAATTTGTACAATTTAATGTCAAAAGTTAAGTGGTATTGTCTTTGTTTTTTTATAACTAAGACAGTTTACGCTCAGGTTATATCGTATAACTTAGGTAGCTCTTAAATTCATTCCTTGCGATTTAATTTTCTACCATTAATTGTTAAAAAAAAAATGAAAATTCATTGATAGTAATATTTGTATATTACTTTTTGTCGGAAAGATTAAATAATATTGCAGAGATGATATTTCCAGAAATAACTCCTGGGTTAAACAGTAGGTAAAGAGAGGAGTCTGGAAACTGAGAGGCGTGTGTTGTAAAATAAAAGGAATACTTTATATTATAAATATCTACAATTAGCAGATATGAAAATAAATATTATTATATTGTTTTGACCAAAGAACAGAATCAATTATTCTAAAATTTTAAGAAACTTTAGCTTACACTGAATTTGATCTAATGTCTTGATTGGAAGCGACATCATAAATGTGTTTTATTTTATATGCGTAAATATTGTGGGTTCTTTGCGATAATTTGAGGCATTTTCCACTCGTGTAGGTTAATGCGCCAGCCATTCTTAGTGATGATGTATGTATCCCCGTGAAATTTACACAGTAAACATAAATTCAGTCCGCGATTTTCGTGTCGTACAAGCTCATATCATGGCTACCTAGACATTCCACAAGCATGTTAGTAAAGGTGAAAATATCAATTATATCCCCTCCCGATTAATTCAAGACAAGTGCCCTACCGACGGTGTCGAGGGTGCTTAGTACTAAAGATATATCGTTAGCCTGGTAAACAGGGAACTAAAATCTAAAAATATACTTCAAAGTCCTTTTCTTAATTATAATAAATACCAAGAATTCACTTTTATTAAATGCCTGAGATTCATATGATAAACATAATTAGATTATCGTTTCCAATCATGATTCTTGGGCAAAGAATTTCTATTAGATTAGTCTCACTTTACAAAACATAATTATTGACAAAGTGCTCTTTTAATCTTTTTATCTTTCCCCCTATTTTTATCAGATCCAACGGAATTATAACTGTGATGGAGTACATTTGAGATATTTATGTTTTAATTGGGGTCAATGATGAGCTATGTGGAGTAGTGGCTGTTTGTACTGGAGATTAACAGAGACAGATAGAAGTCCTCAGTACACACACTACAAGGAGATGGCCGGGACCCTTTGTCTCATTATAACACAGTTTCTCTAGATAACATTGACGAAGGTTAAAGTTTTTGTTTGTCTTCTTCCACTTTAACACCCGAGAACATTTCAGGAGTTAAGATACCCTTAAACTGGATATTTAGAGTAATTTGATCTCGTTGAATGTTGCGCTTTTAAATTAGAAATGTACAAACTATTTATCAGAACAAAGCCCACTCAATACGAACTCTTCCCCTATTACTGACACAATCTTGCTTCTCTTTCAACAACACCCAGAATCGGATCTCCACATCAAATGTGACTAAAATCCGATCTAATTTGTGATAGGATTCTCAAATTATTTGTGTCATTTGATGGAGTAATTTGACGATTATTTACTCGTGTTTTCTTTATTTCCAAGGTAATATGATCTGTAACCAATGGGAAACAAAACAAAAAACCAACAGCCTATTTCTCTTTATTGGATAGAGGGCAAACATTAAATTGAAAGAAAAACCATTACTGTTTCACTAAGGGAATAGTTGAATTTAATTTTCTTTCACAAAATTGAAACAAATTAAAATTTGGGGAAAAATAGATCCATCCCGGATAGACAGCATCTTTTGTGGGCCTTTAATGGCATTCTTGGGGGCGTCCCGGATAATAATAATGACATTTCTAGTTAAACTGGACACAACACAATGAAGAGTTTGTCAATGTTTCAAACATGCCGTTACTTTTCAAATGACACGTATAAATTCAATTTCTAAAAAAAAAAAATAATTTTAATTAAGAGGCTTTTTTTCAGAAATTGTGAAGAGAAAATGTGTTTAATATAAAGGAATAAAAATTCATAAATTTAGTTATACTCCTCTTAAATGCACTTGTCTTCTTTTATTTTTCTAAATTTCATCAATCTACATGTATAACTTTAAACAGGATAGGAAATGATATATCAGAAACCTAAAGGAACACAATTTCTGTATGTCTGGATATTTTATACTTGTGATTGATAGACCAAGTAGAAAATCTGTAACTCAGATATTTATTTCCATAGTAAGTAATACTAAAGTGTGACTGACTACATGTACTTGTTCAACATAATACACTGTACCTATACCATTGTTACCAACTTACCCAGTTCAAGACAGATTCGGGTATTCTTTCGACCGCAGAAAATGTTATGAATTGTGAGACAGTGAAACGGTAAACGTTTCTGTCAGAGATAGAGATCCTGACAGATATTTTTTGAATGGATTAAAAGTCAAATCAGAAATATTTCGAGATTATTGAATTACAAAGTATGTGAACTATAAACCGTTCATCTTTATTACGCTATCATTCTTCATCTTGAGTAGGAGCGATTAGAATTAATCTCTTCTGTCTTATTAAATCTAACTTAAAGGGGTTTTATAAACCATTGTAACCGGCATCAGTTAATACGTCTCGTAACCGAGTACGAGCTATCCAGGGTGTTAGGTATACAGTTTCATTGACTGTCTCGTGAATTAAGAACATGTGAAATATAGGATTCCAAAAGCTATTATTTCTATATTTAAGACTGGTTTTTTTTGTTTCTAATTTAGATGCGAAGTTCGACCTGGACCAGAATTTATTTTACGTAGATATCAATTTCGAAGACATCATTTTAAACTGCATCAGTATTACTACAAAGACCCCGAATGTAGACATCCATCCTATGGCGTCGTAGCAGAAGGTCATTACAGACACCAGCGGCCATCTTGGATTGTTCAGGGAGGCACCGAAACTGCATATACAGTTCATAACGTCTCCGTTATACCATATGCAGAAAATATAGCAAAGAAATTTACAAAAATTTCAAAACTTTGTTCTGAAATTTCAAACACAAATTTCAGTACATTTAGGAAAACTCAGATTGTAAATTTTCCTCCATTTTCAAGAAATTCTCAAGCATCAAAAGACTATGACTGTAGCTTTGTGTTCAACCTTACATTCCACGAATTACAGTTGATTCGTTTAGAAATACATCATCATCACGTGTATAGTTCCACTAAGTACTTCAGAGTGGTCAAAGCCAGAAGGGCGCGGTCAGACAAAGAATTATTTCTAGGGGACATTCACACTGACATCAAACAGCGGGCATCATATAGACCCACTGCATACCAAGCGGCACTTAAGCCTGCTCATGTAAGTATACTGATTAAAAATATCCCAACACCATCACAATAATCTGAACAATCAAGTAAGTTTGTACATACAGTGTATGCTAGGTCCCTTTCTTGATTTAACGTGCTTTTTATTAGCAATTAAGGGATGTAAAAACGAAATTTGGGGGATAGCCCCTGGTCAGTGATTCCCTACTAGTCCCCGTCATGAATATATATTTCAGCATCTCACAACCGTCTTTAAAATTAAAGTTTTAGCTTTGACTTTTCCTGGTTTTAATATTTTTGAGGAACAAGATCAATAAAATGTGATAATAGCAAACAGAAATCAAGATCAATGATCCATTGAGACAATACAAATCAGGAGCAGAGCAAACTCGGACCACTGGCATCAGAGGTGAGATCAGGTGCCATGGAGGAGTAAACTTCTCCAGTCGACCGGTCCTACCCGCTGTGTGCTCGGACTCGTCAACATTTTCATAACAAAACTTGATTCCATTATGTGAAATAGAACTGTACAATTTAAAAAAAAAAAATTTTAATGTTTTTTTTTTTGTACTGCATTTTTAAAAACAAGTTTTACTTTTTATCTTATATTTTATTCAATCTGTGTGGTCATCCGTTATCTAGCTATTTTATTGAAAGTGACATTTACACCTAAATGAGACCCATACAATAAGGACAGATTATTATATTATTACCTATATAAGTGTCGGAGGAAACACCCGTGTGCTGAGCTCTCTAATAAAAGTTCCTTGGTGGTCAGGCTCGGAGCATTTCTTCTCTCCGATAAGAGCAACACAAATTAGTTTCTCACATTAGGACCCTTTGTAATCGATACAATAAAATTCCGTTGGTCCCAATTAGTTCGGTAATTTGACGAGAGACATTTTTCGTATGTCCATTGGCTTAATGAGGATAACATGATGGGTGGAATCTAATTAAAAGTTGTTAATAGATTGTCTGGACCTCTCTTAATCCTGTTTGTAATAAAGATGGTGGTCTAAGCAATGTCGACATCCTCACCGAGTAATAAATAATTGCCTTTTTGTTCATAATATACTTAAGCCCGTTCCTGTCTCCGTTGTCAAATTTGAAGATTCGAAATGATAAAGTAGTGCGTGGAGTACAATTGTATATCTACCAGCATAGAGAAAAAAATTAGAAAATATTTCCATGCAAACTTTACTTATTTAGATATAAGATTTTTTCTTCATATTCAAATAGGATGGAACATAAAGAATATTTCATCCTTTTGCTTAAATTTCATACGTTATCAAGTTAAATTTTCAACACATTTTTAAATGTGCTTATCAAAGAAGTACGAGACATGTAGTAATGTATTTTATCACAATGTCCTTCTTTTCAGACAAGGAAATGCCATGTGTGCAGTCTAATTGCGAACTCGCACGACTTTCTACCTCCCCAACTGAAGAGTAAACGTTTCGATGACTTTGACCTTCCCGGAGAGTGGGTCAGCACGAGATGCGAGACTCGACAATACGGACAATTTTTAACGAGACATCTAACTTTTCATCCCGATGGAAGATCATGGAGTGGACAATACGACTTCTACACAGACCCTTTGTGTCTGCATTCATCATTTTCGTTAATGGTCAAAGGCACATATGCGACAAAAGCTAATTTCATTTCTGTTCTTGGGGCTAAAAAATGTAACTTTCAAATTCATAATCTTAAAGTCAAACCAATGTCCCAAACGATCACACAAAGCCTAAATATATTTGGCGGGCAGGGTTGCGGAAGACCCCATTCTTGGGAAAATGGCGTTGAACAGGATGTGACGTCATCTGGAGGTTGTGTATCTCTTGGAGTAGTGTTGCAGACTGTGGAGCACGAAGTTTTAAAAATTGAGAAAATCAATAATAAAAGATATCTATATATTGGACAGAGACCTACGGACAAAGGTGTGCGTCCATTGGACGAATGGCCGACGTCTTTTCAGGAACCTTTAATTCAGTGCTCAGATTCCCTTGTAACACCAAAACCAGTGCGGCCTAAAGTGACCAATCGATTACCTAAATTCCAAAGGCTTCAATCGCCTTCATCAGCAAACGATATACACGGTTGTCTAGTTCAACACGTGCTTCTTGTTGTAGTTAGTTTTCTCCTTGTCGCCGACTTATGATTTAAGACCAATGAATTGGGGTCAAGGACCCAAGCCAAAGTGAGTTAATATAGAACAGCTCGATTGACAATGAAAATCAGAACTTATAGTCTTGAAGTTCAGAAAGTTTGGATTACCACAGCGTGTCAATTTGATTGACTTCAGTCGAGCTTATAAACAGTGTGCCACCCGCCATTTACCGTTTATGCGTTAATGTCTGCTGAAATTTTATCAGCAGATGATGAAATAAGTCGAAGCAGACAAATTACAGCGTGATATCTGTGCGTGCTTAAACAATGATAAACGCTCCATCATCATTAAATTCATCACATTCTCCACTTGTCTTAGATCTTCATTGTTGAGAAATGTCTTTTTTGCCTTTGTATGTTTGTTGGTGGTTATTTCTCTGTTCGGCGTCTTCCCTGATTCTACGGGTATTATAAATCTAGGGCACCAACAATTGCGTTTTGTTATCAAATGTTTCATTGTATTATTTTCAATGAAATAAATTGTGATTTCCTCTTTAGTATTTTTCTTTCTTAAGATATGAGGCAATTTGATAGAGGGAAAATCATAAAAATATTGAAGTTTTAGGTAATATGATGATTCTAATTATAATATGGATCTTGATTATTTTTTTAAATCAAATTTTCTATGACCAATTAAAGCCAGCTATTGAATGGAATCAGATGTGTCCATGGGCAACACCTGGCGGACTATATTTTTAATTCACTAACACAATGCAATATTAGCATGTCAGACACAAGTTAGGCTCAATATAAGTATTCCGAGGTACCAAAGAACTCTCAAACTCTGTCCCAAACTGCACGATTATACAGCAAATTTATTGTCATACATTAAGAAAATTCTGCGATCTACAATTTTTATCTTTAAACAATTCATACCTACCTTTAATTGTTAACAAAGCGTTCATAATTTTGACTGACGTGTTACTCTAATTATAATCATGTCAAGAGCCAAAGAATGTCGGATGAAAAGATTACTAAAATCTTTAATGACAGGATAACAATTAATGGCAGGTATAAAATTTGTCCTTTAGTTTGTGATGACAGAATCGGAGAACACACGATAAACTAACATGTACATGTCAATTCTATCAAACATAAAGCAGGCGCCCCATTTGTAAACCTGTCTGAAAATCAATATGCTAGAGATTTTATCCTAACATTGGTCAAATTATGTTATATCAGAGAGGGCTTTTTTAAAAATATACTCATCTTTTTACATTTACAATTTTATATTTAATAAATAGAATTTTTATTATACTTCTGAAAAGCCTATCTGAGATCTTCTGGTTTTCCTTACTTATACTTATCGGTATTTCATGCAGTTGCCTAAGTAATTGTCATTCATTAAGAGTTTTTATAACTATATATAAAATAGATCCAACTTTTGAAGAATATGTAAATTAATTAAGTCACCCACACAATACAGTCAATTAAACGTTAGACTGGACAATCTACCTATAATATGTAGGGATTTTTTTTAGACTTAATGTGTATTTCTTTCATTTAAAAAAAAATTATAAATGATACATATGGAAATAACGAACTATATTCAAGATCAAAAGTCCATAAAACAATACAAGATAGAAGCAGAGCAAACACGGACCTCCAAAACATCAGAGGTGGGATATGGTGCCATGGAGGAGTGAGCATCTCCTGTTGACCGGTCACACCCGCCTTGTGGTCCTTGTTATGATCGGCAAATAACGGAAAAATCAGTCGTCAATTTAGTGTATAAATAATTGACTAACAATTGGTATGAAAAACGTCAGTCAGCATTTGACTCAATGATAAATTGTATTTGCTGACAAGGTCATTGTATCGACCATAGAACTTACGAAATGATGACTTTAAACGAGACTGCTGACATTCTTGTTTCATCAACTTGTTTGTCAATAATTTATCTCGTTTTAGAAGTTGTTAATACGGAGAGCATGCTCAGATTGCGTATCGAATCAACTGAGATATATTAACTGCGTATGCAGGTGATGAAGGTATATTGCTGCTTAAGTAAGGGAAGTTGACGGTTAAAGTTAAAGCCATCACGTTTATCATAGAGCTTGGTTGTTAGATAACCAATAACGTCTTTTTCAAGTGAAATATCTAAATATAAAACAGATGTGTCAGACTCTGTTGTATCTTTTATCTCGAACTCACCGGTATATTGTATATATCGTATCGACATAAAAATGGAAATTACCACTGTTAATTGACAATATGTCGTCGATATATCTGAAGGTCGCGCTGAAGGCCACAGTAAGTGGTTTTTTTTCTTCTTTTCACGTATAATATTTTGGACAAATTCTGCTTCATATGAGAACAAAAAGAAGCCAGCTAATAAATATTATGGAGCAATCGTGAACAAGACATTGAAACTTTGTTAGAAAGGACCTACAGTATCAGATGGATGTCAAAATTTTCTAACAAATTGTTGGGAATTCGATGGACACTAACTGTGCTCGTTTATTTACTGACTGTTTTATATCCTTTTAAGCAGGATTTATTCAATGCTTCTATATGAAAAGAAAATACTTCCTTTGGTCTTAAACACGGCATTAAGATAATATATATCGACAATGTATTATTAATTTACAAAAGTTACTTTACAAATGTCATTTTATAATAAAGTATTGACTTCAATTTTTCTATTCCCTTATCTATGTTGCAACATACCATGATAAATGATATCATGATAATATAATAAATATTTATCAGTTTATGTCTTCCAGTTGATTCGATACCCAAAAGCATGCTCAACGTATGAACAATATCTAAATCGATTTATTGACAAATAAGTCGATAATACAATGTCATCAACAGCCTTACTTAAACTCAACATTTTGCAAATATTATCGTTGATGCAATGATCATGTTAGCAGAAGTAATTAAATGATCTTTTGAGCTTATAGGTAAGATTTTTTTTTCATAGATAATAGATTATGTAGATATTCAAGATGAACATGCAATATACATTGTTTCAACATGAAATATTACAATGTTAGCGTGAGAGAAAAATGTGATATGATAAGATTAAGGGAATGTTTCATAAGATATCAAAACATACCCGAAATGGACACCAAAATGCAAGTTATTAATATTGCAATAGACCTTATTCACGCCAAAATGCTACTTTTTATGAAGACATACTGCACTTTATTTTTATGGAAATGCATGTTTAAAATTTGTCATCGTTTGAACCTTATAAAATCAATAGCTCATAAAACAAATTGAAAGTATGTAAACTTTCTTTAAGAGATGTATTTGAAGATTGATTTACCGATCCCATGTCTTCTATTTTCAAATGTTCTACGAAAAACTGTAAAATCTGTGACATTTTGATAATCAACACTTCTTTCACCAGTAACTACTCTTGTCTACGGGATAGAATGTATTTTTGTATTTTTCTGGTCTTGTTTATGTTTGTGAAACCAAAAGATCGCTTATTGAAATAATTTCAGGACATAGATTTCAAATAATTCTGGAGTCAGCAGCTTTTATACAAGCATTTTAATATACCTTATCACTCTATTTTGTCAATGAAAGTTAGATTTCTAAACCATCATAAAAACAATCCATCTCTGAGTGCAACTTTTCGTTGACAACGAAAAAAATATTGGATTAGAAAACATAGCAGTCCTTCCCTATGGATGTTATGAAAATGTCAAATTGACTCAATAGTGTTGGAAATCTTTCCAGTCCATAGTGTCACAATTTAAATGTGATGGGATTTTTTAACCATACACAGAGACGTAGGCGTAGTCATATGGCATCGGTCTTAGCGGAGGATACTTATAAATTCCAAGGAACTTTTGGAAAGAAGATGGGTGGATAAGGCGGACGAAGTGCCTATAGTGCGACAGATAAGAAGTGAAAAATTTAATCTCAATTATATCCAAATTTTACTTGATATTTCATCTAATATTAAAGTATACTTAATGTAAAATCTCTACAATTTATAAAAATCTCACCAAGACTGAAAATATTTGCCTACGAGAAAGCATACACAAAAAAGAACAAAAACGATCATTTTCTCATTCTTTAACAAAATTTTTCAATATGAGTGGGTCTTCCCTCCATTTTTTTTAAAGATAATCATAAAAGTTTGCAATAAAATGTACATTTTTTGGTTTACAAAAACATGGAGCGAAGACCCACTATGCCTTAAAAGTACACTTTTATGACAAAACATTCGCATCTTTCCGAAAAATACTTCAAGTCCATTAAGTCAAGGGTCATATCACAAACATGATTTAAATGTCCGAAATTTTCAGGAGCCATGTAGCATAGTGGTTAGCGTGTTAGTCTCAAAGCAGTATGAAACGTCGGATTTTTATTGCTAGGGGTTCGAATCCCACGAATATCATCTTATATTTTTATAAAATAAAATTTTTAACAAGATTTTTTTCTCTCTCAGAAAAATTTTTCATAATTTCATAAATTTTAATAATGAGAAGTTAATTTTTAAAATACTCAATTCACATAATGAATATGATTTCTTAATATCAGACGCTATAGGCATTCTGCCCGCCTTGTTCACCCATCTTCTTTGAAATCACAAATTTTAACAAAATCAGAGACTTATGTCTCTGCCAAAATCAACAGCATAAAAACTTACGACTTTTCAACTTTATATACAAATGTACAACCATTACCCTCAAGAAATAAAGTCCAGGCTTTTGATATCATCAATTGACAGCTGCCTTCTCAAAAGAATCGGAACACGTAAATTTATTTACCTTGTCGTTGGTTATTTGCAAAATTCTTTTGTTAAAAAAACATTCTGATTGTACACACAAGTACTCTGAAGTTGATATTAAAACGATGCTTGAGTTTCTAATTGACAATATTTCTATGTACTTTATTTTGAGACAATATCTTCCAACATTCTTTTGGAATTCCCATGTACCCCGTTATTAGCAGACCTATTTTTTATTCATATAATGCAGAATTTGTCAAAAATCTTATACGTGAAGAGAAGAAAGCTCGACATTTATCAACGACATTATGTTCACTTAACAATGGTTATATCCATTCTTATGCCGATATGACATATATCCCAGTGAGCTCGAAATAAAAAATACACAGGGTATGACACATCTGTTTCATACACTCGAACAATTTTTTCCTCAATCTCTCTAGGTTCAGTATTTCGAAATTTATCTGTATTTCGATATTTTACTTGAAAAAAGAGATTAATGGTTATCTAACAACCAAGCTTTATGATAAACGTGATGACTTAAACTTTTCAATCGTCAACTTCTCTTACTTGTGTAACAATATTATACCTCCTTCATCACCATCTTCGCTAGCCAAGGGTTTCCGATCCGAAATCTTCCCTACAACGTTGTAGAGTAGATTTCGGATTGGAAACCCTTGGCTAGCGAAGATGCTTCATCACCTGCAAACGGGATTTATGTCTTTCAGTTGATTCGATACACAAGAGCATCTCTCTCTCTCTCTCTCTTTAATGTTTTTGTTTAAATGTTTTAAATATGTAGGATTAACTTTTATACTAAAGTGCTAGACAGTTCATGTAATTTTACATATTTTCCTTATCATCATCAATATTATGGAATTAAATTAGGGAAATAAAAAGGATAGTTTTCATTACAGTTATTTGCTTTTTATTGCAGCGATATTAAGTCTCAGTTCTAAATTATAACTGTTTTTCCTCTAGAAAAAAATAAGAAAAAAAACAAGACAACTAATACTACACAACATATTTACAGCTAAACAGAAAACATTTCTAAAAAAAGTTAAGGAAAAAACTCTCAATGCGTACATTATCGGATGTTTTCTATTCAGAGTTGTCGTTCCCTCATCAGTTTTAGTAAAACTAAAAGAAAGAAATCATATAAAGGATTTGATACGAAATAGCATTATCTACGTATGATCAAGTTCTTAAACAAAGCAAGTTATTGGCAAATAAGTTGATGCAACAGAATATCAATGGTCCTATTTAAATTCATCAGTTTGCAAGTTCTATGGTCGACACATTGACCTTACTAGGAGACACAATCTACCATTAATTCAAACGCTGACTGACGTTTTGCATACCAATTGCTACGCAATTATTCTTACAATGAATTGCCTTTTCCGTTACTCCTAATCATGATAAGGAGCACACAGTGGATGTGACCGGTTAGCAGGGGGTGTTCATGTTCTTCACCCTATAACTATAGTCCTGCTTAATATGTTATTACAGGTGACGTAAATATAGTTAATAATGAGGACCTTAGATCACTCATATTAAAAAGTCCTAAATATAGGGAACCACGATCCTTCAACTGGCATCGGAATTTCATACATATTATGGATTCTGTTGAAAATTACACCAGACAATGGGCCAGATATGAAAAAGAAGACGTTGACACTTTATCAGAATGGATTAAATGTATCAGATTCATGCTAAAATCACGTACTAAAAGATTTAGGGGCAATATGAAAACCATCTATCCTTCTGCATTCAATAATCAAGAAGTGAAAAAAGAATTTGGTAGATTACATGATCAGTACGTACTGGTCCCTGCTGACAAAGCAGGTAACAACATTGTCTTCGTTTGTAAGGCTCATTATATAAATTGTACTTTAGAAGAACTTGGATTTAATTCTACAAGTGGTAATCCAACTTATACTCATAGTCCCTATCTAAGGAAGAAATTCTTCAAAATCATATGTCAGTTTTGAATATTTTTGATATTCCAAAGAACCAAAATGAATTTGAACTACCATATATATATTGGATTCCAAAACTACATAAGAATCCTTACAAACAAAGATACATAGCGGTTCCAGTAAATGTTCAACCAAGCCTCTTTCTTTACTCCTCACTAAGATATTAGCAGTAGTGAAGGAGAAACTTCAAGAGTACTGTGCAACAATATATTCAAGAAGTGGTGTAAATCAGATGTGGATACTTTAAAATACCTTAAGGACTATTTGAAATCACAAGATTTCACCAAAATCAGCAGCTTAAAAACTTACGACTTTTCAACTTTATACACAACCATTCCCCACGATAAATTAAAGTCCAGGCTTTTTAATATCATTGACAGCTGTTGTTTTCAATGAAAATGGAAGTAAATTTACTTACCTTGTCATTGGTCATTTGCAAAATTATGTAATCTAACAACCAAACTATATGATAAACGTGATGACTTTAACTTTTCTATCGTCAACTTCCCTTACCTATGCAGCAATATACCTTCATCACCTGCATACGGAGTTAATATATCTCAGTTGATTCTATACGCAAGAGCATACTCTACCTATGAACAATTTCTGAAACGAGGTAAACTATTGACAAGCAAGTTGATGAAACAAGAATATCAGCAGTCTCGTTTAAAGTCATCATTTCGTAAGTTCTATGGTCGATACAATGACCTTGTCAGCAAATACAATTTATCATTGAGTCAAATGCTGACTGACGTTTTTCATACCAATTGTTAGTCCATTATTTATACAATGAATTGACGACGGATTTTTTCCCGTTATTTCCTGATCATGACAAGGAGCACACGGCGGGTGTGACAGGTCGGCAGGGGATGCTCACTCCTCCATGGCACCTGATCCCACCTCTGATGTTTCGGGGGTCCGTATTTGCTCTGCTCTTATTTTGTATTGTTTTATGGACTTTGAGATTGAATACTGTTCGTTATCTCCATATCCTTCCTTTGATTAAAACCATTCTGACTGTACACAAAAGTACTCTGAAGTTGGCATCAAAATGATGCTTGAGTTTTTGATTGACACAATATTTATGTCGTTTTTGGAAAACAGATCTTCGAACAATCTATTGAATTCCCATGGGTACAAATTGCGTCCCGTTATTAGCAGGCCTATTTTTGTATTCCTATTAAGCAGAAATTATGCAAAATCTTATGCTTGAAAAGAAGAAAACACTTGCTGTGGCCTTCAACTCGACATTTAGATATATCGACGACGTACTGTCAATTAACAATGGTAATTTCCATTCTTATGTCGATACGATATATCCTAGTGAGCTTGAGATAAAAGATACCACAGAGTCTGACACATCTGTTTCATATTTGGATGTTTTACTTGAAAAAGACGTTAATGGTAATCTCATAACCAAGCTCTATGATAAACGTGATGACTTTAACTTTTCTATCGTCAACTTCCCTTACCTATGCAGGAACATACCTTATTTTTAGTCCATTATTTATACATTGAATTGACGACGGATTTTTCCGTTATTTCCCGAACATGACAGGGAGCACGCGGCGGGCGTGACCAGTCGGCAGGGGATGCTCACTCCTCCATGGCACCTGATCCTACCTCTGATGTTTCGGAGGTCTATGTTTGCTCTGCTCCTATTTTGTATTGTTTTATGGATCTTTGATCTTGGATACTGTTCGTTATCTCCATATGTTTCATTCTTCTTCATGGCAAGGCACTTGGTCCCATCTCTGATATTTTAGAGGTTTGTGTCTGGGACCCGTTTTACAAAAGATCTTGCGACTAAGCCCGAAACACCTTCAGTTGATCGTAAAACATTTCCATATACATGTATTTCATAAAAAATATTATTCTTTTCAAAATTGCTAGCATGAAAATATTTTTCTAAGTTCCTATTAAAAATATTTAAAACATACAAAATTGAAAAAGAAAATAGAAAGTTGTAAGCAGAACTAAATTTTGGTTCTTAGTTCTTGAGGTAAACGCTCCCCTGTTCTGCATTGGATTTGCATCAGTGTTTAATAGGACTTGTGAGTTTGAGAACTCTTCTTTACACTTTTCTCTGAGTAATTTTTTGTAACTCTATGGTTATAATTGTTTGTTTGTTGTTTAACGTCCCTCTGGAGAATTGTTCACTTAAATGGAAAAGTCACCACTTGTCGATGGAGAGCACAGTTCCCTTTGACTTATGTTATCTTCAATTAAAAATTTTTTAGATAACATGCACATATCTTCATCATTGAAGATAAACCCTTATGTTCAAAGTACTACGCAATTCATGAATGTTTTATTTGATTACAAGGAGATAAAATACATCATACTACGAAACTTGACATACACCTCCCAAAATTATTGGTAAGTTTATCTGCGCACTGAAATCTTTTCTTTTTTTAAGTTTTAATTTGCATTTCTTTATTTCATTTTAATGTAAGCACATATGTACTTACATACTTGGGCATCTTTAAAAACTGTTTACATGCCCTCTCCTAGCTCAGCTTGTCAAGTCACAAATCCATACCTTGAATTATAATTTGAATTATTTACTTATTTACTGAAAATTTATAAAAATACATAATGTTGATAGATCTTACATGTTTTAATGAATTTTAAAATGTCATCATCTCGATAAGTTTGGAAGAAAATGAAGTACCGGATATTACAAGTGATGTAAAATTATTTGAAAATCAATGAATATTCAATAATATGTCTTAATTTCAAATATAAAAAGTATGTTTCAAATATCAGAAAGTGTTTATATTTACGGGAAACTGTCACTTTTTGCATGCATGAGCCCTGGGATTGGTTGTCCAGACTCCTTCTCGGAGCAGAGAGTGAAGGCCTTGCAGTGTTCCTCGCAGAATCTGTATCACTGCTTGTACAATGAACTGGACGAAATTGTGGAAATTTGTACAGAATCTATCTGGATTCCCGCAGGTACATTTTTTTAAATAAGATATATAGATTCATAATTATATAATAACGGAATTCAAATTTTTCAACCAAATCAAAATTAAAAGACGTTAAATAGAAATGGGAGTATGAATTTGGTGATTCCATTCAACTTTGATATCTTTATTTTTTTTCTTTACGAATATTCTTGTAGGTAACTGTCCAGTATACAACAACGGAGCTTCCAAATTGAATTATGTCCCCTGTCAGACGTCACGGGGAGAATGTCCTTCGGATGTGTTCTTTTCAAATGAAATCTTAAAATGTAATATACAATATCTTATTATACAGTTAAAGTACACTGAATATCATTGAGGGAGTTCCAGTTTCCCAAGACTAGGACTATTGCCCGAGGCGCAGCCGAGGGAAATAGACCTGGTCGAGGGAAACTGGTTATCCTGCTAGCTCCTTCAATGATATACATTTTAACTGTTTTCTCATACCGATACAAAAGTAAAAAAAAATGAATTTCGAAAGACGGGGAATTCGCTTTCAGAGCGGGGGTTAGCTCACTAGACTAACCCACGAGGATTAGTCCATTAACATATTATACCGATTAATTAAAAAAGTAAAATATAGAGAATTACAGATAACGGGGAACTAGCTTCCAAAGCAGGGATTAACTCATATGACTAACGCACGGGGATTAGTCCATTCACAGTGATTTCAAGGGAATTATTTACATTTTACAACCTTATTTTTATATAGTTAAAAACCAATAGAGGTATAATAAATTTATATATCTAACCGTTTTCTCTGTGATTGGTTTTTGAAAGATAGGTGTGTTTTCATGAAAATATATTCACAATCTGGAGACAACCTGATCAGTTGTCAGGTTAAAAAAAATCCTATAAAAAGGCACAATAAACAATGAGATATAATTAAAAGAGTTTATTTATCATTGAACCAAATGTTGACGGACGTTTTTCATATAAATTGTCAGGTTACTATTTTCTCACTGAATTGTCAACGGCTTTTTTTCCTTTTTCCCGATCATGACAAAGAACACACGGCGGGTGAAACTGGTCGACAGGGGATGCTTACCCCTCCATGGTATTTGATCCCATCTCTGGTGAATTTAAGAAACCCATGTTAGCCTTTCTCACAATTTTTTTTAGCTAGATTGATTTCAGAGGTAAAGAAATGTAGTCCTTTTCACCAAAAATTACAATTTCTGTAATTTTCTGTTAAATAAATCAATTTTAAACAGATTTTTACTATGCAACTTAAACTTATGAAAATATAAGATATTTTGATGCCCTTCCAAAGCTTAGATACTGTAGAGGGATTGGGAAATTCTCATCTTGGTCGTAATATTTGTTTGTGAAAGAGGCCAATTGACTGTAAATATTATAAAGAGACCATTTTATATCTGTGACCAATTAAAGAAACTTGAAATTTTTACAAATAAAGCATGTCATCAGGATATTGTCCCTTATGAAATATTTTGTTTTCTTTAAATAATATGACGTGACATGTTGCAGATTATATTTTAAAAAAAATAAAATACATGTATCTCAGAATGGACAATTATTCAATTTATGCATAAGAGAGAATAAAAGTATAGCAAGAAATGACTACAAAATGAATGAAGTTATGTCATTATTTCGGTTTTCTTTGATAAGTAAGCAAATTCTATCAGACTTTTGAATGTGTGAGTTTGTATATTTCTTTTTTCTGAAGATCACTTGCCTTGTTATGTTTCTGTTATTTTATTTGCAGATTCTGGATGCATTCCACTTTCGAGGTACAACTAAATATGAGTTGGTCTTTGATCTCAACGTATACTCTGTTTTTATTTGTTTATTTTATTTTCTAATTCCATTTATAAGATCTCCAGAGGCAACCTTACTATGGGAGATAAACACTCCATACCTGAATTCTACAACGGACAACACGTTTGAAAACACAGGGTCAACCTCTCCTTTGCTCTTTCTTTTAATACCCCTAGTCTTCTTAGCATTGATACTCATTATCCTACTAGCAATTATTCGACGACGAAAAGGAATTTGCACAAGGGAAGGTATTCACTTTAATGCATCTGGAATATGTTCTTGCATATTTAAGACTTATTGATGCGTACCCTGATAAAATAGAAAACTCCTAAAGGAATAATTTTTTTATTATTCTTTTTTAAATTTGTCAAGTTGAAATGTATGTCTTTAAAGACAGACTTTGCTCCACAAACTATGCTAAAATTGCTCGCATTTTACATATTTGGGAAAATCGTAGGAATTACATTGTACGTAAAAAAAAACAAACCTTTTTTGGTGCATTTCAGTTAATGAAATTTCATTTTCATTGCAGAATTATTATAACTTAGATTTACGCTCACATTTTATCTCTCGTAGAAAACCATAAGCATGAAGATGAAGAGATCGTCATACCTTTAGTGACCCGAAATACTTCTGATAACCAAGTATCAGGTTGGTTACAGGTACTTTTTATTTTAAAAAAAACCAACATGTTTAAAGTTCATTGTTTTTTTTCTTGTTTTAAATTCATAGAAAATTTACTTTAAATGCCAACACATATTTTTAACAATCTGTGTCCAGTAATACTATATCGAATTTCTAAAATATTTACTTTAATTGAGTCTTTTTTCATTTATTAGTTATTTTTCAATTACTTCTATGGTTTTATAGGGTCTTTTTTACCTAAAAGAGCATGCTCTTGGAAAGCGAATCATGCAGTTGATGCAGTATAATTATAAAGGGAACCTGTATTTATCATTAATTCATGAATTAGACGCCTTGAATATATGTAAATTATATACTTTACAGCGGTAAAGTATAATTTACATCTGTTAAAATTTGGTCTGGAGAAAATAATTTTGTAACTATAGTGTACGCTCCGTAAACTATAGCTTACAGTTCATTACCGGTAGTCTAGTTTATCAATTGTGAAACTATGCTTAGACAATGTCTGTGGATTTGGCATGCAGGTTTTTGTTAATTATTTCCGTATCCGTACAGTGAATCTTAAACAGGGTAACATCTTAAATACTGAATTAGAGAACGCTCTTTTGTCAAGAATTATTAAAATTATTTAAAGTGATTTCTCTCATTCGAAAATTAAGATTCAAGTTCACTGAGACAGGGGCTAAAATACAGAAACATATGAAGATTTTTCAAAAGTATTCATGTAGGAAGCAGACCTCTAAAGCATTGGGATCAGGTGCCAAAATCTCCACTTTACCGGTCACAACCGCCGTGCGCTCCTTGTCAGGAAATATATCTGTGAATCAGTGCATAAAAATGGATTAATAATTAGCATGAAAAATTACATTTGACTTATGGTTCCACCACAGAACTAAATTGTCTTCTTAAACAGAGATATTCTTGTTTCATCTTGTTTGTCAATAATCATCGTTTTAGAAATTGTCGAAGTTGATAAAAAAGGCACGTTTATCAGCTTAGTTGTTTTGCCATTAATGTCTTTTTCAAGTTTCAAATATGAAACAGATATATTTTGTGATATCTTTTATCTCCCACAGGATTTAACATAAGAAGAAACAACTGTTAATTGACAATACTATAAATGTTGAGTTGAAACCCACAGCAAGTGTTTTCTTCTTTTCATGCATAATTTTTATCCAACACTTTCGCGAAAGCGAATAACAATAAGCTATAACTCATGTAATTCGTTTTATTCAATTCATTAATATTTATTTTTTCTTAAAGCAAAATACCCGTCATTTCCGAAACTGTATACAATGGTTGATGAGCTTAAGTCCAAACGAGCAGTTATCATTATTGGGACATGGGGAAGTGGAAAATCAACACTTGCAAAACAAATTAAAGAAAATGTGCAACAAGACCCAAAATTTGCAAATGCCGAAAGCATAGAACTCAGTCATCTTAACAACTGGCAAATGGTTGTTCCTAAGGATATGATTTCTATTGTTCAACTTAAAGACTGTGTGAAGAACTGGTACTCTGAAGACTATGCATCAATTATAAGACGGGAATTTGAAGACCTAATCAATAAACGTTCACATTGTTATTTTATCATTTTGATAAGATGCTCAGAGTGGAATAGGTTGAATATAGAAGATGAAGAGATTCCTTATTTCCATGCACATAGTGTATTTGAGGACAACAGAGAAAAACTGATAGAATGGCATACAGAAAAAAATATTTTTGTCATAAAAGATAAAAAACAAATGCCGCCAGAAGTTATAAAGTTAAAGCAATCCTTTTCAGAATATAGTTTTTCTAGAAATCTTGGTATTGGTTTTCCTGGGGTAGTCAACCTTGTATGCAGGAATAAGCGGCTCCAATCAGCTGCACGTTTCGCGGTAAAGGAACCAGTAAAGGCTCTGCAGGATGATCTGAAAAGACTTAGAGACTCTGAACTCTTATACGAGTTGTGCCATTTTATCATTCTAGTGTATACTATGTTATGTGGTGGTAAATTCAATCTGAATTCTATAAATGCTGATCTACTCGACAAACTAAGAAAGCTGTACAAGTGTGAGGGTAATGATCCTATGAAAATATTTTGCGAAAATCTATGTGAGGAATATCTGAATGTAGAGACTGGACAACCGGTTTATTTCTCCTTGGTGCATGATATAGTAGCCAGAGTTCTGTTTAGAGTCGTGTCCAGCAGTAACATTGACTTACTTATAGAGGAATGTGACTCGGATCTCTTGTTAGACTGTATTGTAGTTTACGGATACCAAGAGTTCAAGAAACAACAACGTGAAAATTTTGCAAAAAGATTACGACAAATTGAGCTAGAAGAGGAAAGACCAGATATCAAACACCACGTATTTTTAAAAGAGAAAGACTTTGCTAGAGTCTTTGAGAGAGCAAGTGAAATAAACGCTGAGAAATAATGCAGTGCATGTACTAATTTTATTCTTAAATGAATATTTGCAACATGCTTTGTTCTTGATTTCACAACTGTAAACATTGAATTGTTATTTGAGGAATGAAGCTTACATGTATTTTAATCAAAAAATAGGTTAAAATAAGCTTCATTGAATCTTTATAATTTGATTTCAGTGTAAACAATAAGAACTGTTTTCCTCCAAAGATGGCTTCAAATTGAGCATATTTTTTTTTAAAAAAGTAACGTCAAGCAGAGTAATACGTTTTTGATATTACTTATTGTGATGCAGGCAACTTATATTATACAATATAAAATAAATCTTTTGTCCAATCAAATGACGTGTTAAACTCAAACTAAATTATTAAAGAACAGTCTCACAAACTGACCTTCGTTTTTTTAACATATTCTTAGATTTGTTAATGTTGAAACTGAGATTTTATTCAGTTTATAACAGACTTGAAAGTCATGTTGTTTAGACCATTGGAGGGGTGATACTGGAATATATGAGGTCCTTGAAAAAGTGGGTATTTGACAAGGCATAAATTATTTTGTTCAAAACCATGCAATATACAGTAAGTCAAGTATCAAATCATCTGATAATTTGTTCAAGTTAATCAACAGCTTGAGAGCTTGATATCCTGAATAAATGAGAAGAAAGAAAACATAAGATATTAAAAACTGGTTTATAACACCTGTTGCTGAATTTTTTTTCTTAAAACAGAAGACTTCAATCTAATTTCAATCTGACTGATTCATGTTTAAATGCTGCACTTGATAATGACAATATTAAGAATCAGACTGTTGTTGAGGAAAAACCATGTCACAAAGTATACAATATCTTCAAAGTAACTCTGACAAAAAAATTATGTTTATTAGCACCAGTACATATTGTACATGGATCAACTGATCTAGTCCCTAACTCAAGATCACAATAACAGCTCAATCTGAAAACTGTATGTGCCATGGCTACAATAATCTGTGCACACTTTGTATAATTTTCTAACAAACGCCAGAAGTCAAAGTTTAAAAAGAGATTTTCACCAAGAAACATATTAGAATAAAAGAAATGTATCTCCTCTGAAATATTAAGAAACAATTTGTAAGCATGCCAAAAAGCAGGTCGGGAAAATTATTATTGTTTCCAGAAAGTGTGACTGAGATAAAATTATAATGATTTAAAAGAAAATCTGTCTATCCATTTCTATTTTGAACACATCAGTCTTCAGGTGATTTGGTCTGACAGTTATTGTCCATGACTTTCAGGCAGTGGTCAGCAAACTCCAGAAATATAGGTTCCTTCATCACCCTGTCCATGTCCTGTGAGGGGGAAGGGGTGGCCACCAGGTCTGTCATGAGGGACCGCAGGTGGGGGTTCTCCAAGGACAATAGTAGGTCAGGATTCTCTCCTGGACAAGTACAAAATAGAATCAGTTTATCATGAGGTCATATTTTTTTGTGTGGATATCTAATGTTTTGTCCAAAGAAAGTGAGACAACATTTGCATGTAATTACTTTGAGATTCCTTTGTAAATTAATCAAATTCCTACTTGAAGAATGAAAATGTGAAAGTGAATCCCAACATGGTGAAATGGATATCTACACAATATAAAAGTCCAAGTAATTTGAACTTTAATACAGTTCTATTAGTTAATGTTAAATATTCTTTATTTTATTTTGGGAAAAAAAGTTAACAGATTGTAATCTTTACTTAGACATTGAAGTGTCTCGGGTGATACTCTGTCTTCTGTCTCCTCAAGGTCAAGGTCAGGTATCTTCTGAGGAACTCCTTCTGATTCAGCTGGAAATCATACAGATTACCGAATACAGTGAAACACACCTTTAACAAAGTGCCAGGGACCGACAATTTTGCTTCGTTATAAGCCTGATTCTTATGATATCTGTTAATTGTTCGATATATTTTAATGTCAAGTGGACTATAAATCACTATAAGTGTCAATTCATTATAAGCAAGTTTTCTTTAATTGTGTTTTACTGTAAAATGTCTGTGAATTATCAGCTCTTATATCTTATATTTTTTTTCCTGCGATGTTAAATGTAACAGTAAATCACTTTTGAACATGCATACCTGGGACTCCTGCTTCTTTGTTTTGTGATTGGGTTAACAATGGCTTGCAAACACTTTCTGAAAAGGGAAATATTTGGTTTGTAAAGTTTGCATTTTCACTAAGAAAACAAAATTGTACTATATATATTCATTATGCATGTTAATTAAAGCAAAGTTCTAATGCAACTGTTTTGTAAAATGCATATTGATTTGATTATCTGATGCACTGATGTTTGAGATGGTAAAATAAGCATTTACGAGAATGGAAGCTTTTCATTGTGAAAATCATAACAAGCTTTTAATTGTGAAAATCATAACAGAGCAACACAAAAACATAATAATCCATGAACTAATTCATTTAACATAATTCGACAAAATAATAGTAAACATGCATCAAACAAAATGCATCAACTGCATTAAAATGGTTAAACTATCTTCTAATATGGTATTTGCTTATGTTTCACTTGTAAAACCCAGTTTGTGACCATTACTCCAGGCACATTACTGTTAAAGATTGTTTTTAAGTTGTCATACTTTTACTTCACATCTACGTATGCGTAATGAGACAATTAGGCAAAACAGAAATCCTAAATTAATCTTGTTAGAGCTTACCTTTGTGTAACTTGTAGCAGCTGACAGAACAACTACAATGAATAACCAGTATTTTGCAATAATTATATCAGAAAAATTAAAAAATTTGTAGCTTCATATTACATGTAAAAATATATTAAATATATAAGTCTTAAAAATGCATTCCACTGATTTGCATCTGCAGTTCAACTTCATTGAAGAGATTAATTTACATACTCCAAGTACAATATCCATCTGTTAAAACCGTGATTTGAAATAAACACTGATAAGCAGACATTGAGAAAATGTTAAGAATTCAGTCTACTTACTATTTGATGATACATTTTGGACATTTGTATTTTGATACATTAGCTTGACAGACTTCACACTGATATTTTTCTTGACCCTCCATGTTATTGTTTTTGGGGGATATCATGCTACTTTCGATTTGAGGATGTCAAAAATTTAGGTAACTTGTACATAAAAGACACAAATTGTTAAAAAAAACCTAATATTTCCTTTCTTTGTTTCGTTGTTGTAAAAACAAATACTGCTTTTTTAATATAGTATTTACTACATATACCTATTCACTGCATCTAGAACGGATCACAACTATCACATGTACAGTATTTTACGTTATCGACACATTTAAGGAACGATCTTTTTTATTGTACTTTCGTTTTCACAATAACGCCATGATAACTTACAGTACTTATTCCTTAAAATACTAGTTACTGAGTAGGGACTGCGTTGCCTTTCTGTGAGAGGAAAATTAATGTTAGACTGATCACTTCCTCAATTTTAAGTGATGACATGATCTGTAATTCTACACAGCACTGTTTTATGAACGCCGTACCTACGTTTCCTACGGTTGTGCAATCACCCATTTCAAGTGTTGATTATATTTCATGCCTAGTAGTTTAGTTTGATCTGAACTATGAAAAGTAGAGGAAGAGGTAAGATATCGATGATAAATTAACTTATTGTCTTTTAAAAATTCTGTACACATCTAATTATATGAGGAATAAACTCTAAGATTTTACTTTGAAACCACTTAACCCTAGTACAATGAAATAGATATATGTATGATCAAGTGTGTATATCGTTCCAGATTGCAAAAGTCTTCATTGTGAATTTCAGGAATTAGAAATACTATTAGAATGGGTACAGATAAGAAAACCGTCACCTCAGAAATGGAGGAAAAGAAACTTGAGAAAGATGACCGTCTCTCCAAACGCCTGTGTTACATCCTCAGATATGGTGCCTTAAAAGAGGGGCTCAAATTGTATCATGGAGGTGAATGATTTTTAAAAAGATATTGTTTTATTGTCGATCATTGGTAAACATTTTAAGGGACTCCGACCCTCAGCCAGGAAGGACAACTCTTTAATTTATAATTTAATTCAAAAAGTCTTTAAATGAAGCTTGAAAATTAAATCTTTTCATGCAACAATTGTCATTATATGCCTCTCAATGTGCTTCAAGGTTCTTTGAACTTCTCAGAAAGGTCTAATTAAAAGTAGAAATTTTTATTCCGTAAAAGCATTATTAGATACCAATGTTTATTAACATGATATGAAATTAGAAATGATTTATGAAGCTTTGCAAAGAACCTTGAAGCACTTTGAGAGGCATATAATGACAATTGTTGCATGAAAAGATTTAATTTTCAAGCTTCATTTTAAGACTTTTTGAATTAAATTATAAATTAAAGAGTTGTCCTTCCTGGCTGAGGGTCGGCGTCCCTTAAAGATGTGTTTATCATTAGTTACATTGTACAGTGTAGATAAAACACAGTATTTTGAATCAATTTAAAATCAATTATTGAAAATTTTAGAATGAAAGTTATGTATGATTGTGTAATCTTTTTTCACTTTTTCTAATAAATGATCTTATTTGCAGATTTTGTGGAGCTAGACCAGCTTCTGGAATTAGAGTTAATGAGACACAACTCAAAAGAAGAAGTGATTCACGAAGTGGATATCTCTCTTTCTCACAGGAATGCAAAGAGATTCGAACGAAAGGAAGAGAACGGAAAGATCTACGTCAGAGCCTGCTTCTGTAGGAACTTTGAGGAGGTACCCAGCCTTGAAGATAATTTTGTCATTTCAAAGAACTAATATACTTTTGATTTCAGAAAGGTCTATAGGATTCGGTTTAGTAATCAAAATCAAATTTGGAATTTTTTGCTCATTTTTGTTTTTGATGAGCATATCTACAAACTTTCATTTTTTCATCTAAATCTCTAATAATATCAGTTGAACATGATCCTGCTGTGCATAAACTTTCTAAAGGATTATAATTTTATTAAAATCTATCATTTCGTGTTCGAAGTCATGCTTTTCAGTTTAGGCTTGATGCCAAACCTTACATTCTTTACAGATTACAACATGATTTTTTTTTTATAATGAATCAATTTTTCCAGAACCCCTGCCATGAAGGGTCCAGAGTGCCTAGGCTAACAGAATCCTGTGTACAATACATATGTACTAATCTAAATGATTATGACCTTGAAGACTTTCCTGATGAGCACCTAGTAAGGTATGTCTTCTTACGTCATATTAAAAACATCAACATTTTCTCCGTCCTAGCTTTATGTTTTGTTTAGCAAGATGTAGATTGCTTATTCCATTGTGTACAAATTGGTGTTTTCTTAAATTGTTGTATAATAACTTGCACCACATGTAATTTTCTCCATTGCAAACCTCCATTGCAGTAAGATGATTCAGAAGATGAAGAAACAGAGTAAGTTAAACAGTGCTGCATTGCGACAACTCCTTGTTCCCGTGCTGGAACATCTAGATTTGTCCGGAGTCTACGTTACCGAGAGCACACTGAGGCTGGTGTGGAGGAACTGTCCAAATCTCCGCGTTCTCAGTCTGAAGGATTGTGGGTATTTAATGACAGACAGTGTCATGGAGCAGCTAGTCAAGGTAATATATTTTGAGGAAATTTTTTCAATGGGGATATCAATAACTTGTCTACCAGAGACTATCACTGTTATAACTGTAGCTTAATTCTGCATTACCTTACATGTACTATTATACAATGACGATACACTTGCAAATCAGAAAACTTGAAATGTTTATCAGATTATTTCTTTCACCTGGTAAATTATGCTGGCTTGTTATTCATCAGAATTTCTTACTTTGTAGAAACTACCTCATCTGGAGTCATTAAGCCTGTGCGCCTGTAAACACTTAACAGATAGAGCAGCCAAGGCTCTGTGTAAACATGCCAAAAACCTCAGGGAGCTGAATCTTAGCTGGATCTCTACGATCTCAGAGGCCGCTATCATAGATCTCATGACAAACTGTCCACAACTCGTGTTCCTAGATATTTACGATCACAATATATCAAAGGACGGGAGGAGTATAATAGCTGATATAGCCAGACAGCGTAAAATGAAAATAGTGTTGAAAGGTTTGACAGACCTTGAGATTGCCCCTGAGAATCCTTGCTCCCTGCTGCCTAACTTTGGAAAAGTGTGGTAAAATGTGATCAGGTGCTGCTATAATTACATGTATTGTTATCCCTGTGTTACACTGTGATAGATTGACAAGTTTTTCATTTGATAATTGGATTTTCATTTTTATTTTATGAAAAATGTGATATTATAGTTCTAGAAAATTTTTGGAAAACTTGCTGTTATAAATAATTTCCACTTATGACATTATGATTTTATGTGCCCATAGAATCTGTGATATTTAGCTCACTTTGCTAACAGTGATGTATTATCAAGAATTAAATATACATGTACAAGTATTTTTTTACTGTTTTGTCATGGAAACATTTCATAATTAAACAGCATACATATAAATTGGCAGTTTTTTAAGAATCTAATTTTGTTTCTTTTTAAATTTCTTTTTTGTTCATGTATTTCACAATTTTTCTATTATAATAGGTGGAATATGCATGAAAATGTCAAAATGGATTTAAACCTACATGTATACATATGTATAATGCTCAGTGAGTCGGGATTGTTGTATTATTGGAGTCAACCTATTAATACATACATGTTGTGTATACATGTATATATTTAATATACACATAATTGTTCCTTTTACTCATATTAATTAATAAGTAATCTAGTATTATTTTTGCAATGAAATGCATTAAATAGTAAAAAATAATACAAGAATAAAATAATTGATTTATTATCTTAAATTTATTTTCAACAATAACAATAAACATAAAATAATGTTTTAGATGGCAGAATCAGCAAAGCTTTAAATGACCTGTGACTTCATTTACCAAGTTCTCAGGTCCTGAAAATAAAAAAAAAAAAACATATTTATGATAAAGCAAAAATACTCGAAAATGTCTTGAATGAAATGTAAGTCCTTGAATGTAAACTGTAAAAATAAGCAATTTGGCATCCTAAAATATGTATGTTTTTTGTCATTTTCAGTTTATTTATAGAAGAATACAAGAATGTGCCTGATTTACTCTTGCATGCTTTATATGTATTTTAGTCATTCATATTGCATTTATAAAGTCATGCCTGGTCCCAATCCTGACACACTTACCCGGTCCCACACCTAACACAGTTTTGGACCCTGGAGCAATCTGTGTTCTACCGGCATCTTGTATAAGACTGGCATTTAGTCCTAGGGACCTTGCCTTCTTAGCTAAATCTAGACTGAAAAAGACAATTATGAAGTCAGGTTCAATGAAGTTTTGTTAACATGAATGATTCAATAGTGAACCAACACACTGAAATTCATTTCATTACAAAATGTGTTTTTTCATCCTTAGTCTACCTTATTTTAACATTGATGCATGTAGTTTGATATTTATTTTTGAACCCTTCTTTGTTTAACAATGATTAAATAGGTTTAGTAATTACAGCATTTTCTCTGAGTCGGCCTTGACCACGACCTTGGGTTGACCTGTCATTTTCCATTTGTTGAATAGTTCTGGTTTATTTCTAGCCACAAATTCTGAGGCGTGGACTGCAGCGTGACAACACTAAAATAATGTTTTACAATATACATGTAACTATATATTTGCAATCATCATCAGATGAAAAACAGACATACCTATTCCCTACTGAGTCATGAGAAGTTGATGACTCGTTTTATTACTCAGGGAGTATAAAACTAGCCATCAACTTATCAATAGAGAGTAAGACATACCAAGACTGCTTGTACAAGTATCTCAAAATTAACGTGATTAAGATGACTACATTAAAGACTTACTTGTGCTGCTGCTTTCCCTTTTCCCATCTTGAGGTCCTGTCTTACAACCAATACCAGCTTATACTCTCCATTGTCTGACAACTTCAGAGCATTCTGAAATCAAAACATTGCCATTTTACTCTTATGCTGGAATGAAGAATTTTCCAGTGGAAGAACTTAGAAGTGTTTCTACTTAATGATTGTAAAACCAAATCACTTGATAATGTGGCTTAAAAGAAGAAATAATATTAATGAAATGGCATTGCACTTACTGGAATTTTGCTAAATATTTTAAATGTCAGAAAATGCAGCATTCCAATATTCTTCATTTGATATTATTTAAATTCTTTTTGGCATTATAATTAATACATATACACATTGTTTGTCTCAATTCAATATACTAGTATATACATTGCAATGTACATAGTATGCCACAATAGACTGCAGACAATGAGACCTCTGGCAGAAATATTTGTAGAGGGAACCTGATTTATGTGTAATTTAATAAGGAGTACACGGCGGGTGTGACCGGTCGGCAGGGGATGCTCACTCCTCCATGGCACCTGACTCCCCCTCTATTTTGGAGGTCCGAGTTTGCTTCGACCCTATATTGAAATGCTTAATGGACTTTTGAGCTCAAATACTGTTCATTATCTCCACATATTAATTCTAAGTATTCTCTTTAAAGAAGTGGACAGGGTAGGTGAAGTCTGTGCACTTCTCGACAGAGAATAATTTCTCAATTACTCTGTCTTATATGCTCTTATGTCAATACACAGGCACCTGAATTTTTATCAATCAGTCGCTTAATTAGCCAAATATCGAAAAATTCTACCCTCTATATATATAAATATATGTATTTATATATAGAGGGGGTAGAATTTTTCGATATTTGGCTTAATTAGCGACTTATTGATAAAAATTCAGGTGCCTGTGGTCAATATGATAATAATTTAAGCCAGAGACATATAAAACTATGTCTCTGTTTAAGCCAATATGTTTTAATATTATGTCAATACGATAATAATTTAAGCCAATATGTTCTAATTAGTGATCATTCTGTCTTCATTGAAATGATTAAAGAAAATAATTTAAGTTACTGATAACGACATGGACCTAAAAAATATTTACATCTGTGAGGTCGACATCTGTATTCTTCACACCGGTGGCCGGGTACGGGATTCTTTTGAGAGACCTTCCCCTGATGAACCACCCCAGGGCAAACCCAATACCGACTCCGATCGACACAGCCACGCCCACATCTTTACGGTCCATTATGTGTGGACATACCACACTGTACACAGAAAATCTTAATGGACCCGAGTTTCCTCAGTTGTTTATATTTTCACACGTGGGAACTGATTAACTTGTGCCTAAATTATTCGACAATTATTCTACGTGAACACCCCGTCACGGTAAGTCAGTGTATTCGGTAAGTATACGTGAACGAAAAGTCGAAGATTCAGGTCCAGTCCGCGACTGATCTGTAATTTGAATAATAAACAAGAGGCCCATGGGCCACATCGCTCACCTGAGAAGCTTTGACCATTCTGTTCTTTACCAGATTTCACCATATAATGCATCCCCACCCTACCCCACTGATCATAATTTAGACATTTTGAAATTTACACTACCCCATGATCCTTCCATGGGCACATATGTTTTAGCTTTTTTGGCTTGCCCTGAAAGATCTCAAAGATTTTTCCTATATTCTATGTAAAACTTTGATTCCCTATAATGGCCCCGCCCTTCCCCCAGAGGTCATGGTTGTACAATTTAGAATTTACACTACCCCAGAATGCTTCCACATAAGCTTCACTTTTTCTCGCCCAGTGGTACTTGAGAAGAAAATTTTCAAAGATTTTTCCTTTTTTTTATTAAAATTTGATTCCCCTGTGGCCCGTGGGTTAAATTTATTAATGATTCATATACTCGTGGTTTACTTTTCACCCCGGCCGTTCAAAATTTATTTTCCATTTTTCCTTAAAATCATTAAAAAGGTTACCCCATTTGGGAAAACTCCATCCGGGAAAATTTTTGAAACAAAAAAATTAAAATCCAGGAAACTCATTTTTACTTCGCCAAAAGGGTTGGGTTTTTGAAAATTTTTTAAATTTCTGGGAAAACCCTTTGGGGGGTTTTTCCCCTTGGGCCCGCCTTCCCCGTCATAAATTTAATTTTTACTACACCAAAGGTCTTCCATTGTTCCCGTTTTCCCGCCATTTTTTAAGATTTAAAAATCTTTTCTTTAATTCTGGTTAACATTATTCCCCAGGCTTTGGGGGTAGATCGCCCTTGATCACATTTTCCCCCTTCCCACATAAATTTTGTTTAAAAATGGAGTGGTTTTTAGGGGAAAATTTTCCCCACAAATTTTTGTCTTTTTTATTACTCCCCCCCGAAGATAAGTTTAATAAACCCAAAATTTTAAACCCCTTTCCTTTAAATTTTAAAATTGATTGGACGGTGGTCGGAAGAAGTCGGAAAAAGGGGAAAATTTTCCCCCCGAGCCAAAACAAAAGCGGGAGGACCGACAAGAAATTGTTTATAACCACAGGTCGGGGTCAGATGGTAAGGACAGGCACAAAGAACTTCTTTTTACTCTTTTAATAATTCCTCCTAAATAAAATTAATGATTTTTTTTTAAAAAAATCCCCTTTTCCTTTAAAAAAATTTTGTCCCCCTTTCCTGCCCCCCTTGGTCATTCTTTTTTCCTTCCCTTTTTTAACCGACTTTTATTTAAAGCTTTTAACGAAATTAAACCCCCCCACTTTTTGCGATAGTATGGTTAAAAACCCCGCTGGCTTTTGGTTTACTTTTTGTTTTCAATTTTTTCGTTTTTAAATTTTTTTTTTTATAACCCCCTTTAATTCCTTCCCCTGAGTATAGACCCTCTCCATAAAACAAAGGCCCTTTCCAAATCCATAAACTCAAATGGGCCCTTTTACGGGCCTTTTCCCCGGGTTTCCCTTCTAGGGTAGCACCCCCCAACTCAACCCGCCATTCCTATATGATGGAAATAAGAAAATCCGTGTAATTTTAAATAATGGACCACATTTATAAAAACAGTTTGTTAAAAGTTTGTGAAGTCATTGTATCAAATGTTACAATTTTATTTTAACGAACTGATACTTGTTTTTGTTTTCCAATTTTTAAAATTTTTTTTAAAATTTAAACATTGGACTACCCTCTGGTTGAAACAAACAATAGAATAATGGATTTAGGTTTTATTAATTAAAAGGATTGTTCCCCCAAAAATAAGTTATCATTTTCATGTTTTTGTATGTTCCAAAAGCTTTTAATTAAAACCAAATTTTAAACAGGGGGTGAAACATCTTTAAATTTTAAAATTAAATTTATAATTTCAATAGGGTTTCCAAATAAATGTTTAAACCCCACTAACACCAACGTTTTCCAAAATTTCAAGTTCGCACCAACACCTCTGTTTAAACCCCGTAACATAACCCGGCGAAGTGAAATTTTTAAACCTTTTGATCTGGTTTATTGAACCTTATTGGGGCCAATAAAGGGACAAAGACGTAAAGGCATTTTCCCCAAGGTTTTATAAAACGGTTAACAGGGCGTTATTTGTATGGGGCAAAGACGGGGCGATTCAAAATAAATTTTGGAGTTTTAAAATTGGGAAAAAATAAATTTTTGTTTAAACCCCCCTCCCCCCTTTTGCCTTAAAACCAGGTGGGAATAAGGTTTTTAAAATTTGGGGTGTATTTAGAAAAGGGCCTCCCATAATTTGGGGAATTAGTAAAACCACTGTCTCCCAAGTTTAATCTAAACTTTTCTCTTTTTAAACCTTTTTATTATTTAAAATTTGTTGTAAATAGAATCAAAATAATATTCATATGATTTAAATCTTAAATTTTTTGATTTTTAAACGATT